ATATCTGAAGTCGTGGTGCCTGAAAGGATAATCTCCCTGTAACTGGCCCTTCTCCCTGACTTATATTATAAAAAGAAATGAAGCCTTTAAAATATGGTGACACGAAAATGTCATCACTGCCAAGACAAAGGACCAGGAAATCAAATGGGGTTCTTGAGAAACTTAGCTACAGATACTGATGTTTGCTATGATCGGGAAGGAAGAATATATTTTTTTCCTACTTATTCACTATCCATGGCCACATTTGCTGGTTAATTTTTTACCACTGCTTTTGACTCAAGAGAAGCCGTTCAGCTGCTCCAGGAATTAGAATCAGATGAAGCGTCTTCTACCCACTTCCTGCTCTTCCCCACAATAGGAAACCTGAAAGGAGAACGCACACACGTCCAATGCTAATTCCCTGCAGGAAGGCTCATTCCCTAAATTCCTAGTCCCAGACAAGAGGGACAATGCCCTGAGGCCCATAGAAACCCTGCCTTCATGTGGCCCCACACACATCCGCGTTAAGGGGTTTTACCTCCTCTCCTCCTCCACCCCCTGGTTTGCACACTAGTTCCCACTTGAACATGCCCCTCTCCTCCACCACCCCCCACTGCATTGAGGAATTCAAGTATTATTTTCACTGACAGAGAACTGTGAGAGAATTATATTATTCTTATCACCACCTCCTAGAAAAAGTGGTCTTATTTTTAATGACAGGCTTTATGGCCCGCCTACTTTGACAAGAACATCTTACTTTATGATAAGAAACAACCTGTTACCTCAGAGAAAACTCGGTACCCCAGAGAAAACTCTTCCCATGTAATTTTAAAATGTTCATCATAAGGTAGCAGATAGTAAGAAATAATTTAATATTTTTCTTTAGTTTTGCACGAGAATTTTGTTTTACTATTTCTTTAGCCACCAGAGCCTCAATTTCCCCTGGAACCAACCTAAATATCCATTGATGGATGACTGGATATAAGGGAACTGTGGTATATATACACTATGGAATACTACTCTGCCATAAAAAAGAATAAAATGCTCCCATTTGCAACAACATGGATGAGCCTGGAGAAACTTATGTTAAGTGAAACAAGCAAAGCACACAGGGATAAATACTGCATGTGCTCACTCATATGTGGGAGCTAAGAGAGAAAGAGTGAAGGAAAGAAAGACCACAGTGGTGTGCTGGACTTGCAGAGGGAGAGAACATACCTTGGGCTACAAAGTGGAGTGGGGGGGAAAGGAGGAGGGAGAGGGAGGTTGGGGGTAATTGGGTGGGAGACACAAGGTACAAATGCAATTTGTGGTAATGGGTATGCTTACCAGTATGAATCTGGCCCCCACATGATGGGCACGAGGGGTGACAATCAGCTTTTTATCACATGAATATTCATAACCAATAAAAAAAAAAAAAAGAAAATGTCCAGGTAAATACCATCAAATATTCTCTTAAGACTTGTGTTCCAAAGATTGCTAAAACATCTAGGAAACAGCTGGTTGAGGTACATATACTAAAATGAATTATTTATATAAGTTCATATGTAAACAGAAGTAAAAAACATAATAAACATCGAATTACCCCCATTTATGTAGAATAATTAATACAATAACATTATATGATCACATAATCATAAAAAGAGAAGGTACCATTGAGATATTCCAGTTCAGTGGATTTCAAACCTGGCTGGTCATCAGTTTCACCTACTAAGCTTTATACTAACAGACTACCTAGGCCCCCTTCATGAAGTCAGATTCAGCATGTGTGGCCTGGAACCCAGGAATTTGTCATTTTTTTCCCTATAAAATTCAATAATCTAACCCCTTCATTATGCAAAGAAGGAACTAAAGCCCAAGAAGTCAAGATGTCTAAGATAACAGAGCAAGTGACAGAGAAAGGGCTAGAACCCAGGTCTCTTGTCCCCTGGTCCACTACTCTTCCTGTTACACCACACTGCCTCCCAAAGCTTCCCCCAGACCTGTCACCCTCACACTTAAGCTAAGCAACCATTAATAGATATTCTGTTGTTAAGTTAGGTGGTAAGCTGTTTGAGGGCAGAGACCATGTTTCATATTCCCTCTGACCTATGCACCTAATAAATGTCTGATAAATACTTCTTGGTTGGCAGTCACTCAGCTAAGGCCTAATACTGTATTCTCTACTCACATTACAGACTATAAGCATCCAAGTAGATATAAATTATCTAGCTAGATATCAAGATCCAGCTGAAGAGGGTAGTAATTCCTGAATTTATAAAGATGACATGTTCAAACAACCAGGAATGTGGGTGACAACACAAGTGCCACAAGGTTAATTACTATGTCTTCCCCTTGCTCTTATGTGAAAAAATAAATGAATCCAAGGGATGGGAAGAACCTAGCCACTTACCCACAGTATTTGGCAAATGTGAGTCGTAAAAATTCTAAACTATTTTAAGGATAAAATCCTTAGCAACTTAACAACTATATTAAAACAATTTTTGCTGCTGTTTCTCTTGGTTTTCAGTGTGTTTTCCCAGTCTTATAAAACATTCTTTTATGGATGGAGTCAAACTCCTTTATAAAGCTGATAGTGAGGGACTAGACACATTTAGCCTCGATATTATAACATGGTTGCTCTTTCTCTCTCTCTCTCTCCCCCCCCTTTTCTTCTCCCCCATATATAAAAATACACACACACACACACACACACACACACACACACGTTAATGTGTATTTATTTGGACACATTTAGCCTCGATATTATAACATGGTTGCTCTTTCTCTCTCTCTCTCTCTCTCTCTCTCTCTCTCTCTCTCTCTCTCTCTCTCTCTCTCTCTCTCTCTCTCTCTCTCTCCCCCCCCTTTTCTTCTCCCCCATATATAAAAATACATACACACACACACACACACACACACACACACACACGTTAATGTGTATTTATTTGGGGGGGTGGAGGAGGGGGAATATGACTTCTTATATTTTGTATTTGTAGCTATGTATCATGAATCATGCTATAAATAAGATAATTCTACCATATTATTATCTTGATTGTAGATATGATAAGGAAAATGGGATAACCAAAACACTTAGAAAGCCAACAGGAGAACATTAAAAAAAATTTAAGGCTAAAAGTTAAATAAATCAACAGGCACATTGGCCACCTGCATCATATGGCCCAGCCCTGATTATGCCCCACTTGACAAACCAGGCTCTTGTGGAACAAGGAACAAGAAGGGACTACCCAGAGGGAACCAAAAGGGACAGGTAGGGGAAGAAGGCTTTCCGGCTGGCCTGCTAGAACTCAGGAATAAGGCAAGGACCCAGGCCTCCCCAAGAACCACCAGAGCCAGGCCCTGGCATCCCTTCACTGAGTGCTCCCTCCCCCAAGTAACATTAAAAGAACAGAAAGCTCCACTTGAAGAAAACAGCATCAGAAATCATGGATGAGGCCCCGCCCACTCAAAAGAGCCTCCACACCCCAAGCTTTGAAACCATGCATGCATCTAAACAAGTCTTCTTCCAGTCTTCTACCATGAGAACCTGGGCAGCACAGATCCTTCCTACCATGAGAACCTGGGCAGCACAGATCCTTCTCAACTCCTACTTGGTTTTAATTGCTACAAAAAAGGAATTGTCTTCTTTTTTTTTTTTTTTTAATTTTTAAATCCAGTCTTACCTATATAGAGATTCCTAATTATTCCTCCAGTTGATCTTTTAAAATCATTTCTTCATTGAACACATAATTATTACATGGTAACTGGACTTGTGGATGGTCAAGCTAGAAGAGACCTTGGATGTCTTGCATCCCACATCCCTCATGTGACCCAAGGGTGATGGAGGCAGGGCCAGCCCTACAGCCCAGGGCTCCTCAGCCTCAACCTCTGATAGAGTAATCATCTTACCACCCCAACCTAAGCACTCAGCAGTACAAAACCTCATGAAAAATGGATGTACTTTTTCATTTCAAAAATGAAAAAATAGTAAGACGAAAGAGTTTTGTACCTTATTATCATTAATGATTTATAAAGCTAATAAATATTAGCAAAATGAAATGATAAAACCAAAAGGTAAAAATGCTTTTAAAAAAAATAATTGTAGGGTTTGTAAAGATTCTTTCCACTTTTTTTCACATTAAAGTCACATGCTATATACATATGACACCTTTTCTGTCTTTCTGCATGGTTAGGAAGTCATTCCAGAATGACAACAATACCACAAAACAACACTCAGAGAATATATATTCCACGGCACTGACATTTATAATCTATGGTTCTAGTCTACAACATCCACTGTGGTCTATACACATATGATGGATATTACCTAAGAAAACAGACATTTTCTACTTATTTAATCAGAAGGAGGTTAAAGCTGCTATTAACATTTCGATAAAATATCTGATACATAACTGTCATTTCTCAAGTGAAGTCAAACTAAATTTAGTGAGAATACCCACCTGATTGATCAAACTTAAGTTCTGGACAGTCTTATTTAAAATAATAGAGGTTTAAATGTCCAATACATCTCTTCAGGGGAAGTTTAATGAGTAATTCTATACACCAAATTTATTTTCTTATGGACTGTATATTTGTATAGGAATATATATTTATAACTCCAATCCTTTCATAAAATTTACTAAGACCCATTCCATAAAATAGTTAGAGAGCCTTATTTAAAAAAAAACCTGTTAGTTGACAGTTATTACTATCAATGGAGAGCTTCAATTGCTGAATACCCTAATCCTCCAGAAAAATTACATCAAAAATGGACACTTTATGACAGAATCACTCATTTATCTCAAAACCAGAACAAATAGAAAACAACACCATTAAGGGAACTTAAGTATTTTTCTGACCACTATTGCAGAAACACAGAAACTCAGCAGATTGCGGACATGCAAGAATCAGCACTATATAGGAAAGAATTAACAAATCAAACTCAGTACACCTTTAACAATTGGATTGAAAGTAGACTTAATGAAACCAAATTACTTCTTCCTCCAGGCAACCGTTAGCTACGAAGGAAAAATGATTTCATATCGTTGGTCCATAAAGAAGACACATTTATTTACATTTTCAATGGACTAAATGAGGTTTTAAACTTTCACAATTAAAATTTTATGCTTCCAAAAATATCATATGATCAATGCACTTAACTTAAAGCTTCAGGTATTAATAACTTCATTTAGACTTCTTAAAAAACCAACACAAACATACTTTCTAGAGTGCAAAATGCTTCTTATTAAATACTTCAGGAACACAAAAGCAATTTGTTTTTAAACACAGGAATCCTTTTCTGGAGGGTCATCACCACAAAGACATCCATTGCCGGCAACGGATGGTGCACAAAACTGCCAGCTCGAGTAAAATGCAACATTAAAATTTTGCTTTCAGTATCTTCACCTCTCAGATGACCCCAGCTATTTGTACAAACTCATTGTTGGACTCTGGTACATGCACATATATGCATCACAGAGAAGTCTTCGTGCACAGCCTTGGATTCTTCTAGAGTCCAAGGAATGCAGGTCTTCCAAAGACATCTTCAAGTATTCTCCTACTTCCGGGCATGGGGTAACTTGAGGAATGTTGAAGCCATTCTGACCACCTATGAAAAAGGGGAAGAACTCTTTTTAGGGCAGTAAAGTTCTAAATCCTATTGCTACTCTGCCCCACCAAAACAATTTTACGATCCAATAATTTAGTAAAGGCTAATTTCTAGGATCTGAAAGACTCATTTTACTTCTGATTACTAGAAGTTAAAGCCTTTTTAACTCTCGACCATTTTCTCATTTCTTGGTTTCTGAAAGGATTCTGGGGCCAACTGTGAATAAAATTGGTAAAAGAACATATATCTTGAGGAAAGCCCAAAACCTACTCTCCAGGCTTCTCTCTGTACTCAATTAAGAAGTAATGTTATATACATTTGCACACAACATTCAGTTCTTCACATTTCTATATCCCCTCAAAGGCACAAGCACCCCAGTACACTTCACCATGAACATGACCAATTTAGAGCAGATATAGTAAAATGAACACTATTATATTTCCCTAAATTTGAAAAATGTTATTTGCATAACTCCAGCCCAGTTTGTTTTACATATCATCAGACTATGAATGAGGATGCTCTGGAGTGTGGTTTTAAAGATCCCAGGAAAGGCCTTTCTGGTTTAGCTCTCTCGATGGCTTTTCCGAATGTCTGAAATTCTTATGTTTTTGAGTTATGCTGTTATATGCAAATGTCAACTGGGTTAGAGGCACATTTACAGATGGGGCTGGGCTGCATCCAGCAAGTATCTGAGACCTGAGAAAAGGTTGAAAACTCTTGGCCTAGAGCTTGGGTCTCTGGCCAAGAGGCTGCCACTGGGGGTGTCTCAGGAAGATGATGGAGACTAGAGCTTGAGAGAGTGGCTAACGGGAAAATGGGGTATAAGAAAAAAAGAGGAACATGGAAGTCATACCTCCCAACCTTGCCTAGGGTTGGTCCTCACCTGTACACTCCATACAGGTAAGAATGTAGCTTTTTTGATAACTATTTCATTCCCGAAACTTACTAGAGCCCAGGGCACTCATTATTTATAAATAAAGACTAAGTATCCTAGAAAATGGCCCAGAAAGTGTAATGCATTCCCCATTCCAGGAAGAAACACATTAAATGCAGAATAGGCTTACTTTTCCAAACAGCACATTTAAATTCTGTTCTTAGCTTTGGTCATTTGGAAGACAACATGGTTTAATATAAAATATATACATAACTAAAATCAGAAAGACTGAGATAAGTAAACTAAGGCACCTTAAACCTGAGCTTTAATAACAGAAAAATAGTAATAACTTCCATTTTGCAAGGATTTAGGTTGAATGACTTAACATACTCCCAGAGAGCCTGGCATTTAGGTACTCAATAAATAACTAGTATGGCTTACGTGAAAATGAGAGAAACCTGAAAATAAAAGACAATGAAGCTAAAAATTTAGGATTTTAGGATTCTTTTTTTTTAACAAAGAGCATACGCATGTCAAAATATCACAACAATATTATCCCTTAGGTTAGGTATCCGGATTGTTAATGCATTTCAAAATTTATGACTGTGTCACAAAGATATTTCTGAAATGATTTTCTCGCAAAATATCTTATTACTCAGAGCAAACAATCCCCCTATGAACTATCCCACTACAAACTAAAACACTGCCACATGCAGAGGAAAAGATTTTAAATAAATACCATCCCGATCAGCCATGCTGTCAAAGAAGAGCCAGGCAGAGTCATCCTTCCCATACTTCACAAAAGCAACATAGTGGCTGGTTTCTATGCAGAGAACAGCAAATAACTCCATCTTCTGGCAGGGGATGCAGCCATGTCTCCAGTCCCAGTCAGGTAAATCTTTGGGAAGCGACACTGGGTTATATTTATGATTCAACCTCTTGGGATGAAGGTGAACCTAAAAAGGAACATGAAGAGAATGACATTAATGAGCTAACCTCAATGTTTCAAGTGAATGGACTCCACTTACTGTTACTGAATAACAAACGAGTCTTGCACACATGTCTATTAAGTAAACAGTCAGAAGAGGCATAAATACCCTTTTATTATGAATTTTTTTAAGTTAATTATGATTTTAAAGACTCCAAAACCTAAAATTTGTTTTCAGCTATGAATAACTTACTGTTCAACAGAGATCATCCATTAAGTGAAGGCAAACTTACTTGAGTGTTGCAGGTTTTACAAAATTGTTTGATTTTTCCAGCTGAGATGTCCGGCTCATCGTAGCATTCTCTGCACTCATACATGGCAAGCCCTCCACATATCCGGCACTGCCTGGGAGCTGAAATGGTGGGAGTGGAGTTAAGGAGCCTTTAAAAAATGCATTCTATCACTAAAAAGATTTTCTAAAAAGTTATTCTTAAAATAAGTCTACCCCTCTTCTATCCTCTTAAACTTTGGACTCAGAATATCTTTAAAGAGATTTTCTCTGACCAAACGACAATAATTTTAGATAACATATTCTCGGGTGTTTTCCACTCTGAATATAAAATGTCCATTGACAAAAACTCGAAAATACAAGAAAGTGTAAAGAAAAAAACTGAAAGCATCACAATTTCAGTTAGCAGGAAAGAAACAGTCAATAATATGAATTTTTTCTAATAATTTTATCTGTGTATGTGTGTGTATAACTGTGTGTATGTTCACATAAATACATATATATATTAAGCTCCTCTTATAGAACATATGTACTTTTCACTTAATATTACATCATAACCATTTTCATATACACTGGTCTTCAAAAATATGACTTTTAATGGCAGTAGTTTCATTGTACAGATACACAACTCATTTAACTAACTCCTCACCTGTTAACATTTAGGTTGCTCCTAATATCTTAATCAGATGACAATAAGCATATTGCATACAAAATATTTATTTTCACCTCTGATTATTTTCTCAGAATAAATTCCTAGAACTAAAATTACTGGCTTTATATTTCAAGGCTTATCAGATAATGAATTGCCTTTTAGAAGTATGGTACACAGTTAGACCCTTGCTTGCAACTAATGAGAATGACTTAACACACTACTTCTTAAAAAAACAAATAAAACAAACTAAAAAACATTATACTTACTATCTTCAAGTAAATCTGTTATATTTAATTCCAGAGAAGGAAAAATTTTTTTAAATAGTTTAAAGTCTTTTCCAAATCGGGGCATCTGAATAATCAGACATGACGGTGCCTAATAAAAAGATATATATTTTTAAATCAAAGTGCTAAAACAAATTTTTCCCTATAAATTGAAATAGTCATGGCTATCAAACCAAGCAGTGATTTCCTCTATAATGCTGGTGGCCTGTGAGACAGGATCCACCCGTAGTTGTGGAGTGTCGATGCAGAGCACCCACAAGCCACAAGTCCTCGAGTAGTCCATGATTGCATGCACACATCAATACCTAGAGGTCAGGTAGTTTAATAACCTTGGGTCTCAAATAATATAATGACTCTATAAAGTGGCATTCTCATTAGGGTTTATATTTCATAAAGGTTTTGGAGAAACTGTTCTTGCAAATATAATCAGAAACTGTCATCAAGGAAGGATGCTATTCCTTATACTCATATTTCAACCATGGCTGTATTTTACCAAAGGTTTTATCAAAACATTCCTTCAGAAATGAAAACATTAAAAACAAACCACAAGCATGTACCACTAAAATCATCAAGATACACAGTAAAAGAAAAACAATTTATATCACTTGTTCATTAGCAAACCAAGATGAAGGAATTTACAGTTAGCCCTCTGTATCCACGGGTTCTGTATCTGGGGATTAAACCTACCCCTGATCAAAAATTTTTAAAAAATAAAAATAAAAACAATAATATGACACTAAAAAATAATACAAATTAAAAAACAATTTGTATAACAACTATTTACATAGTATTTATATTGTATTAGGTATTATAACTAACCTAAAGATGATTTTAGTACACAGGAGGATAATAGCCCTCTGTATCCACGGGTTCTGTATCTGGGGATTAAACCTACCCCTGATCAAAAATTTTAAAAAAATAAAAATAAAAACAATAATGTGACACTAAAAAATAATACAAATTAAAAAACAATTTGTATAACAACAATTTACATAGTATTTATATTGTATTAGGTATTATAACTAATCTAAAGATGATTTTAGTACACAGGAGGATAAGTGTATGTTATATGCAAATACTATGCCATTTTATATCAGCAACTTAAGCATCACAGAATATTATCCACAGGGGATCCTGGAACCAATCTCCCATGGATATCGAGGGATAACTATATTGACATTTTGTCTCTTAATGAAGAAAGAAATGTAAACATTCTCTTTTTATCTAGATAATAATGTGTGGGTAAAATGACAATTTAAAAAAAGCACAAGTCTTCTTTTTGCTTTAAACTACTTACAAGTTTCAAGTCACAAATTAGCTTTGTGTTTTTCTTTGGCACCAAAAATCCAAAAAGTTCAATCTTAATCCTAAAGTATTTAAGTACAAAGTTGAAATACTGCACATTTTTTTAAATTTGTGTTTTCTTAACAGTTTGTGTTTCAAACTGTTCTCAGCTGGTTAAAATCCATAGATATTGAACATACTAGTAGTCTTAAGAATCCTAAGAACTTTCGTACAAAATATAATAAGTGAGTATCACTAACCTCTGCAAATTTCAGGTTACTGTTGATAAATGACCATTCTAACAACTGCTGAATTGTAGGTACTCCAACTTTCTCGTTTTTTTCCATAAAAATTTGATAGAAGTAACAATCTTGTACTTTTTGACCTGCTGATCTGAAGACATGGAGGGAAAAACACATATAACTTATTTATTAAATGCTTAAATTAAAATGTGAAGTTGTTCTAGCAGTAGTGAGAACAGAAAAACCATGAAATTGATGGTGCAGCTTTGGATAGTCAGAACAACAGGAAGAAAAGTCAATAATTTAGATGAAATAATTAAATGTTCTTATGTACAAGAATATATAAATGATTTCTTGTTTTAGTTTTTATATTGATAAGTTCTCTTAATGATCAGGTGAAAAATAATGGAATAATATCCCCAGTCAAGAAGCACTATGTGAACAAAAACCAAAAGCTAAAATCACTAAGTTCAACTTCATCGTCCAAATCTAGAAAATGGCAAAAAATTTAATGCTTGAAACAGGAAGATAAATTCGCTTTTCACTGCCACCAGACTTGATGCCACCAAGTTTGTGCAGATATTTACCACAAGATGATACATCCAAGCCATACCTTTCTGGGATCTCATGTATACATGTGCAGTCTTTTTAAATACCGTCTATTATAATATGTACAATTAATTATTAGCTATAAATATTTTCTACTAGACTCAATTCCTTGGGGATAAAAAATGT